ATTTCCAAACTTAAGTACTTTTGAACCCTCACCTCACATCTCCATACTGTTTTTTAGATTTTAAAGAAGAGGCCTTTTGATAATCGTCTGGAAAATATCAACCTGGAAAATTTGTCAGAAGATAATGTAATAAACTAAGGTAAGCAAAAATTTATCCCAGCCAAAGTATTTGAAAAATATTTGATGGATAAATATACTTTTATATAAGTGTATCCTGACCACTTGAATTTTAAATCTTATTCATAATTACACTGACAATAATAGCATTTACTGTCTAAGTGCTTGATGGATGTTTAATTTAATTCTCATAATACCATACACTTTCGTCCCGTTATTTATTAACCCTATTTTGCTGACTAGAAAACTGAGGCAAGGAGAGAAATATCTTTGTCCATGATCACACTATTTAAAAGTCTGATGCTCTACCGACTGAGCTATCCGGGCTCTTTTCGATCACACTATTTATAAATGGCACAGCCGAAATGTGAACATGGGCAGTTTAGCTTTGAAGTCTATGTACTTAACCAATGTACCAGGCTACCCATTACCACCCTGTGAAGCAACTTGCATATCAGTAGGTATATATCCCTAATTTTAACCAGTATACAATGTACTGCCTCTCACATCATCATACTTAAATTTCACTTTTTACTCTCATCAGCAGACACAAGCAGAAGGCAGTGGAGAAAGTGCAGTACAGTAGACGGCACAGAAGCAGTGCAGGCAAAGGAATCCAAACCACCAGCTCACGAGCCATAGCACAAGCTCTTGGGTTTGCTGGAGGATTTGGCTCCTCCGGGTCACTCCTGGCTTGTGTGCTGTGCTCCTCTCCCTTCCTTCTCAGGAAGTGATGTGGTTGATGGAACAGGCACTAGAGCAGAGAGGGACAGGCCTGGGTCCCAGTCTCAGAGCAGCCTGGGACTGGCAGAGTGCCATGGAGAGTCTGGGCACCACATACCGGCTCCCTTAATCCTCTCAACTGCATGAGTGAGCATGGCACCTGGTTTACGGGCGATCGAAATGAGATTTAGAGTTAAGGATAATTCCATCAAGGTCACAAAAGATAGGATGTTGCCCAGGTCTGCCTGACTGCAAAATCCTCAGCTTTACTTGGCCATGTTGCCTCTGAAGTCACTTCAATCCTCTAAATCTGACTCCTCAAATATAAAACAAGGTAATGGTGCTAAATTAGTTCTCTCTGTGCCATGGAGCCCTAAGGATTGTTTGAAGGTGTCTCAGAAGTCATTTGGGGGAGAAAGTCCAAGGAGACAGGGCCAAGACAGCCACATATACATACATAGGTGTGTGCGTGTGCACACACACACACACACACACACACACACACACATGCACTCACACTCACACTCACACAGCAGTGCAACATCACTTTGGCCTTATAATTCTGGTTTTCTAAGTGATGGTTGAAGGGGAGATTCTGCTGCTAAAAGAGTGTAGGGTCATTTTTGCCAGTTAATTGTTAAGGCCCCTCACTTTAATACTTAGGAAAGGATCAGCTTTGTAAAGGTACAATAACTGCAATAAATCAACCCAGTCAGAGGAGACCTCTGATTCACCTGGCTGGCTCAGTCCAGAAAACGTCAGATGCCTTTGAAAGAAAAGGCTGTACCCAAACTTCTGCTGATCTAGACACAATCTGAGAAAGTATTTCAATTGCGTGTGTTTCAGTGATCTTCATACCCATGTCAGTTAGTGAAAAACACGGTCTGGGTTTTCTTCTTTCGTTCTCACCAGTTCTGGAGGCTTTCAATTGGTCAGGAATAAGAGGGATGCAGCAATTGTAGCTTGTTTAATTCGAATGCATTGTTTTTTTCTCTTTTTACTTATCTTGCTTCATGCTTTTTTTTTTTTTTTTTTTTTTTTTTTTTTTTAAACTCTGTCCTCCTTCAATCTTGTCTCTGTCCTCTGGCCCCAAACCAGGTGATAAACAGGAAGAGAGTGGTCTTTGTTGGTAAGAAATGAGTGAATTCATGTACTCCTTTCCCTCACTTGTAATCCTATGCAGAGCAAACATTGGTGCTTAGCTTTTAGCTCTCAGGCTGGCATCTTGATGAATGCACAGAAAGCCAATTTTTCCTTTCCCCCATCCTTTATAGCTATATATGTAGCGAAGAATAAAGTTGAGGAAAGGCAAGCATTAATTATGATGATGGTGATCACATCTTTAAAAAAAAAACACGCACATATTGAGGTATACTTTACATACCTTAACATTCATGCATTTAAGCATGCAATTTAGTGATTTTTAGTAAATATACAGTTGCATAATCATGACCATAATTCCATTTTGGAACATTTTCATCCCCCCAAAAATCCCTCAGGCTCATTTGCAGTCACTCCCTGTTCCCACCCTCAGCCCTAGGCAGCCACTAATCTGTTTCTGACAGATTTGCTTTCCCTGAGTGCCTCATATAAATGGAACCATATAATATGTGGTATTTTTGCGTCTGGCTTCTTTCATTTAGCATACTTTTCTTTATGAGGTTCATCCATATATTAGCATGTCTCAGAGCTTCGTTCCTTTTTACACACCACTTTTTTGAACGGCAGCATTATGTAGAGGAAAGATTGTGGATTTCAGAAGCATGCCAATGTAGGGCTGGAGCGAAGGTGTGCCACTTCTTAGGCATGTGGCCATTAGGCAAGTTCCATAACCTCTCTGAGACCCATTTGTAGGATAAAGATAATAATCGCTCCTTCAAAGCACTATTCCATGAGTTAGCTGGAGTGTGCTGGCAAATAATGAGCTCTCAAAAAGTCCAGACTTCCTCTCTACAATTACCCCAAAACCCTTACTTTCCTTACCCAACCTGCTTCATAAAAACAAATATAAATGAATCTATAGCCTCCCTCTAGCCTTCACATCACGTTTGAAATGAGAGCCCACATAACTAGCAGCCTGAGGAATGGAATTCGCTCAGGGAATTGCATCCTTCATTAAAGAAGCCCAGATGGTGAGGAGCTACAGGGATTTCCTTCAATTAGATTGCTGTCATTTTTTAAAAGAAGGTTAAACTGTATTTAATTATTATTTTAAGGAGGAAAACATTTCACATTTTTTAGTATATCTTATAGAGAAGGCCCGACCTTGGCAAGGCTCTACGACAACATATTTTCCCACTAATTCTTATAAAACTGCCCCTGAAACATCAACCCTAGATAATATGTAAGCAAGGAGCAAAGGGCTACAAACCTGAGTAAATAAAATCCATCTCAAATCCTCAAAACTTAACTTTTAGCCATTAGTTCAGGATTTTCCTTTTCTAAACCTTAGAAAAACCTGAATTTCACATATAACAAAATAAACTATGTGGAACCAGTCCACCTTCTCAGAGGAGAACATGTTTATCAATTTGAGTTCCAACATAAAGGAATCCTGATATAACTCCATGGTACACTCTTGGTCAAAAAGTTTACAAAGATGCTACTCCTTAGCCCTGAGTATAAAATGATCTGTTCTAAACCTGTTTTTACTTCTGACTCATTATTTCTCTATCATTTTTAATCCACCACTATTCCCCTTGGTGTTTCTGATGGTTTCTCCCTCCATTCTTATCTGGTATGTATCACAGTTGCATTTCTTTCCCCGATTTCTGAAACAATTTCCTCCCACCTTCTCGATTCACTCCCAGCTTCACTTCCTGCTAAGGACAGTATAACAGTTAAAACAGAAAAAGGAGAAGGCTTCTCTATACTTTACTGAATAAAATAGGTTTGTAACATTTTATTTCTCTCAATTCAAGGAGATTAGTATACTCTATTATTCATGTAATAGATTTTCTATCTATTTTCATCATAGAAAATGCTTGTTCTCAAATGTATCAAATATAAACTAGTAATTGAAAGAGGCAATATATGGCTTTTTAATCTTTATATCCCAATAATAGTCACTATGCACAATATTGGCATTAAAAGTGGCAAAGAATGATTTCTTCCAAACAGGTAAATTAGATATAATTCCTATAAGTGATCATTCTGCAAAATTATCAAGTGATCTAACTCACATGTGTATTCTGACATAGTCACATCCACACAAATAAACAGGTGAAAGGCTATATCCAAACTGAACCAAACAATTAATATATTTGTAAAAAAAAAAAAATTCCTGTTTCCTTCCTACATGTACTTATGTGGAATAGGAGCTGTTAATAAACTCTGTGACTATTTGCCCCATATTGAGAGATCAGGAAGAAGTGGATAGAGTCCCAAAAGAGTTTTTACTCGCTATATTATCATATAAAATAAGCATGGGAATCCATAAATGTAATACAGATACATAAAAATAATTGGGAGGGGGCATGAGCAACTTAGGTTTGGTTAGATTTGTGAGTTTTCCCAATCTTTAAAAAGTTTTCTTATGTTAAAACTTCCCTTTCAGTATGACATCCATAATTAATAACACTGTATTGCATATTTGAAAGTTATTAAGAGAGTAAATCTTAAACGTTCTTATCACAAGAAAAAAAATAACTTTGTATGGTGACAGTGTTAAAGTCGACTTATTGTAGTAATGATTTCACAATGTATACTAATATCAAATCATTACATAATATAAAGCTATGTGTCAATTATAATGCCACCATAGGCAAAACCAATTACCTTTCCTTTTGTATACTACAGTGAAGAGAGTCAATTAGACCTAAGACTTTATTTTAGGGATCTTATTTTAAATGGCATCATAGGAATTTATGTCATGGTATAAATAGTTTAGCCAATCTGGGACTTAGCAAAGATTTCATCAATTGCACAGGCCTTTTTGTGCAGATGTTTAGCAACAGATGACAAATAATCTTGAAGCATAATGATTACACTGCCTTTGATTATGATTTGGCCTATAGTTTGTTTAGAGAATCCCGATCTCTGGGTGATTGGCGAAACCCCCAAATTTGCAGAGTTCATCTCTGAGTTCCTGGCCACCGTAAATATGTCAATGTGCATGCATCCTCTACATGAATTACCAAAGAATGCCAAGAGGCTCCTACCCTGAGATGGCAGCAAGTTTTTGGTGCGCCTGTCGGGCCATTTCACAGCCTTTGGTTCTTGTCTTGTGCATTTCCGCCCGGAGTGAGGGGCAGCTGACCGACACGTCCCCAATGGAAATGACCAGCTCTCGGTACAGGGCCACTTGTGTGTTGAACTCTTGGACAAGCTGGAAAAGAAGTGAGTTTCTTTCAAGAAACACTTAACCGAAAATGTCCTATTTTGGATGTACATAAACAGGGGTTTCACTGACCCTTGAGCCTCCCCCACACACACACATACACACACACACACACACACACACACACACACACACACGGCCCAATCTCTGCTTTAAAAGCCCATAAATTATTTCAAGATGAAAACAAAAAGATGGTACATTCTCTTTGTCCTGGGCAAGTGTTTATTTTTCATGCGGGAGTCCGGTTGTGGAGGCTCTATTTTCAGACTCCTGGCCCCCACCCATTCAGACCCAGCTTCTGAGGGTAGCCTCTCTGAGCACTCCCATTGCCACTCCCAGGCTGTTAGCAATGCTGGGAACTCTCCTCCAGAATGCTCCGTGGATTGCAGCAAGGAGATGAATTTGAAGTTGACAAAGGCCAAAGAGAGGTTATAATAGGCAAACCATTCGCCTCCTGCGGGACCCCTGAGCTGCTCAGGCTCCAGAGCCTGATGGGAAGATGGGGCACAGCCTCCGATGGGAGATGGGAACCTTGGTCCCCTCCAGGCCCCTCCGCAAGGCCCGTGCACTCACTCGGGTTGGGTTTGCTTGCTTCTCCCCACCAAGCGGCACCTCCACCGCCCCGTCCTTCCCCTCCTTGGTGAACAAGCCCCTTAACAGCGTCTTCCACTCTCACCCCTCTCGGAGGGGCAGAGGCATGCCCTCAAGACTCTCGCCCTGGCACTTCCTGGTGGGGCCATCACCACCTGGGTGTCACCCCAAATCTAGGGGACTTACAGATTTAAAAATAGTGCCTGTGCACGTGATCGGCATGGAGGCCCGAGGGTGGGGGAGTGGCTGGTACTCAAGCAAATGATTACCATACATATACACGATTTCTTCTCAAAAAAAAAAAAAAAAAAAGCGCAGCCCTTTCCACCTACCATCTTGCAGTCGTCCAGGGTTCGGTGGGTTTTGCTGGCGCTCTCGGAGCCGCTGCCCCTGCGCTCCCACTCCCCGCCGGGCAGCGGGGGCTTGCTGATCTGGAAGATCGAGGAGCGGGTGGCGGACCGGCCGGGGCGCTTCTTGCGCCCATTCGGTGCAGAACTCATGCATACACATCCACCGAGCCCAGCCCTGGTGCAGTGCGCCCCGCGCGGGCGGCCGGTCCTCGCCCTGTGCCCGCCGAGCAGCCGGGGCGGGAGCGGAGGGCGCTCACAGCGCTGGGGCTGCGGGCTGCGCGGGTGGGTAACCTTCAGCCTGAAGGAGAGCCGGGGGAGCGCCGGCTGCGCCCTGCAGCATCGCTTCCACCAGCGGCGAGCGAGGGAGAAGCTCCTCCGTCAAGTTCGGCTCAGCAGCGGCATCGCCGGCCCCGTCCCGGCTGCTGGGCGCTGGCGCAGGCTCGCACCGCCTTCCCCTCCTCGGCATAGACTGCAAGGCTGGGCGGGAAGGAACGCGCCTCCTCCGGGCGGTTCTGAGTTTCCATTCAGATGCGGGAGCAGCAGCTTTTCAAAGCTTGTGCTGCAAGGTGGGGAGGTTGTGTGTGTGTGTGGGGGGGGGGGGAGTGCGGGAGGGAAGGGGGATGTCACAGCTCTGGCTTCAGTGTCTTCCTTCCCGCAGAGAAGCTGGGTTCCTCTTTCCCCTCCCTCCCCCCTGTTGCTAGGCCTGGAAGGACTGGCAGTCCCCGAAGCAGGAGATTGGCTCCAATCGGCCGGCCTGATCCCCTGTCTCCACCGGCTCCTCTGTGTGAGGATCCAGAGGAATCCGTGGTGGGACTGGCTGGTGGACGCAGGGAATGGGTCCGCTGACGTCCCTGTGGGTCCCGCAAGTTGATAGGGCCGGGATGCTAATGTGATCCGTCCACACAGCCCGCTTCCCCCTCCACAGGGTAGGCACTTACCCAATCAAATCCCCGGGAACATCAATTGCGATATTACTTCATCGGCTCTATTATTAGAAACGAAACGTGTCATCAGAGTGGAGCACGTTGTCACATGCTGGGACCTAAACAGGGATCTCAAATCAACTGGTGTGGGCTGGAGGCCTCCCCCATCTGAGGCTGCCTCGGGGCCAAAGATTACCAAAGCCCAAACCTATTAGGGAGGGAGGGAGGTTTTTACTTCCAAGGGAAGATGTCTGGACCACCCAAAAGGAAAGCGTTGTTTCTCTGAGTTCTATTGAGGTGGAGTTTTTGCTTTTCCTCCGAGGAGGGGGTCAGAAACCAGCAGGGCAGAATGCACTGTGGCCATCTGTCACATGGTCCGCATCCTGTCCCGTTTCAATTAGTAAAATGTTTGGTTTTGCATTCCAGAGTCTCCGGATCCCCAGCTCTGAGAGTTTGCCCATAGAAACTTGAGCAAACAGGCTTCCTGGCCAATCAGGAGGATCCTCTTCTCCTTTATGGGACATCAGTGACCCAGGGGCCTTATGGAGTTGGCCCAAAAAAGTGGAGAGGTCTAAATCGGTTTGGCTCAGTGGATAGAGCATCGGTCTGCGGACTGAAAGGTCCCAGGTTCGATTAGGGTCAAGAGCATGTACCTTGGTTGTGGGCACATCCCAGTAGGGGGTGTGCAGGAGGCAGCTGATCTATGTTTCTCTCTCATCAATGTTTCTAACTCTATCCCTCTCTCTTCCTCTCTGAAAAATCAATAAAGTATATATATATTTTTTAAAAGTGGAGAGGATACCTGTGTGAGAAAGGGTGGGAGTGAGTTCCTGGACCATTTAAGTTCATCCTTACCACACGTGCAGCCTAAGGTTCTTCAGGAAGAAGAGGGAACGTGGGCATTCAGTGCCAGTGTTCTGAGAATGCTGATTACTGTGAATGGTTTATTGGGAGGGGACAGATAAAGAGGTCTGCCACAGAGGAACTTATTGTGTGTTGAAAAGCCTAATGAAGAACTAGCTAATCAGGGCTCCTGGTCAGTCTCATCTCATAGGGCAGTGGTTCGCACCCTTTCTAAAGCCGTGACCCTTTAATACAGTTCCTCTTGTTGTGGTGACCCCCAACCATAAAATTATTTTTGTTGCTACTTCATAACTATAATTTTGCTACTGGTAATGAATCATAATGTAAATATCTGTGTTTTCCGATGGTCTTAGGCTCTACAGTTGGGACCCACAGGTTGAGAACTGCTAGCAGGGTCACCTGAGACCATCGGGAAACACAAGATATTTACATTACGATTCAAAACATAGCAAAATTACAGTTATGAAGTAGCAACAAAAATAATTTTATGGTTGGGGGTCACCACAACACGAGGAACTGTATTAAAGGGCTGCGGCATTAGAAAGGTTGAGAACCACTGTCATAGGGGGATATGGAGAGTACACAGATGGGGAGAGCCAGATGTAGCAAGGAAGCTAGCACATGAAGGAGGAGCTAGAATTTGTGTGTGTGGTGTTTTGTTTGTTTTTTACAAGCCACGTAAACATAATGGGGGTGGCGTGGTATAATAAGAAAAATACTTGGTCTTTGTCCCCAGTTCTTGACACAGAGGTCCTAAAACCTTTGGACGTTCATGAGTGACCAGGGTGGTAAGCCTCTGGTCACCAGAAAGACCGAGCCTTGTTTTGAGGTCTAGAACTTTCAGCTCAACCCCCAAACTTCTGGGGAGGATGGAAAAGCTAGAGATTGACTTAATCATGAAAAGCCATGATGAAATCTTCATAAAACCTAATTGTTGGGGTTTGAGGAGCTTCTGGGTTGAAGACATGGAGTTGCTGGGTGCTTGCCCAGACAGGGCAAGATGTAGCAAGGAAGCTAGCACATGAAGGAGGTGCTAGAATTTGTGTGTGTGGTGTTTTTTGCCCTAGGCATCTCTTCCATTGGGCTTTTCCTGGGTTGTATTCTTTATAATAATAGGCAAAGAAAGCACTTTCCCAAGTTCTATGAGTCATTCTAGCAAATTATCAATTATGAGGAGGGTATGTGGGAATCCCTGAATTTGCAGCCAAGTTTGATACAAGTGTGGGTAACCTGGGGACTTGATACTTGTAATTGGTCTGTGAAGTAAAGACATTCTTGTGGGACTGAACCCTTACACTGTGGAGCCTGGAGAGTTAGTGTTTGAATTGAATTGAATTGTAGGGCACCTAATCAGTTTTGGAAAATTGTAAGTAGTGTTGGAAAAGATGCCACATGTTTGCTTGGGAGGAAAAAAAACCTAATAGGTAGAACTCTGACGGGTTCTCAGATGTTTTTGTACATTACTTCACAAAAGATCCAGTCAATTTTCCCTAACACAGAGTGGGAAGGAATGGTATCATCCCCCACCCCAGACCTTGGTGTGCTGCTGCCCCTCAGCTGTTTAGATGGACCAGGATGAAGGGCTCTTCAGCTGGCCGAATCTCCCCAAATATGGGAAGATAAAATAGGTTAACTCTTAGTCAACTCTCCGTTCCTCTTTTCCTTGGTCCCAATTTTGTCTCTACTTCCTGTGTGTATAGAAGAGAGGTTGAGGAACACATTAGGTGATTTGGTGGGATTTGCTGGGGCTTACTAAGTGGTTGAGATGCTGAGGAGGAAGGTATAGGGGGGCTAAGAAGCTTTAAGGAAGAAGGGATAATAATCATTTGTAAATTATTTAAGTCCTGTGACATAAACCCTTTTTGTTACTACTAACTGCCCCCCCCCACACACACACACACAAAAAAGTAAAATCCAGTCTGCTCAGCCCAAGGTTGGTGACACTTCGAAGAGTTAAAGAAAAAGGTTGTATTTTTCTGTGTGTAGACATAGTGTAGAGAAAACAGAACACTGGAGGTCAGGCTTCTAGACCTCTTGTGCCATCACTGTTATTTCATCCCCTTTCCTGCAGGGAAATAGTGACTGTCACCAGATTTGAGCATCTCTAAGCTCCCCAATAGTAGGTTTCTACTCCAGCTACAACCATCTGGTTTCTACACCGCCCCCCCCCCCTCCCGCCCCTTCTGCCTAGATACTGTTTCTTTCTTACAGGAGGTGGAGGGAGGAGATATATGGGTCAAACAGGATGTCATATCTGAAGGACTACAGATTTGGAAACCTGCAGGGGATTAAGCAGAAACTGTCAATTGTAGGTGCCCACCTTGCTTTCCCCAATACACAGCCCAAGCCATTTTCTTGAGAAGGTAGAAAAATAGCATCCATCCTAGAGCTGTCTCTCTCAGGGACAAATGCTGTAATCAGAATAGCAGCAGGCAAGCTTAGTTCCCTCATCTTCCCCCACATTCAAAACAGCATGAATTTACATTCCTAGTGCTGTCTGGCTGCCAAATAGAAGGGTAAATGCAGTTAATTCCAACAAGGGCATGCTTTCTGGTTACTCAGACCCAATTCTGGCGACAACCCCCCAATGGGTCCTCTATAGACCTATGGCTTTGACCTGAGTCACCTCCTAGATTCACTCCAATATAAGTTCCACCTGATGATTCATGCTTTCTCTACGGCAATTTTAGAGACTTCATTTTGATTTGGAATTTTACTAAAATGAATACTAGAGTAGAGTGAATGTTAGCAAGTTGGTAGGTTTCTTCAAATTGGTTCTGTAAGAAATCACAGTAGGACCAGAGATGCACATCTCTGACTAGACTGGCCTCTCATGAAAGGAGCTACTGCCCTGTTTCCCCAAAAATAAGACAGTGTCTTATATTAATTTTTGCTCCCAAAGATGCGCTAGGTCTTATTTTCAGGGGATGTCTTATTTTTCCATGAAGAAGAATATGGTACACATTTATTGTTAAATGAAAATAAAGGAAATTTATTACCTGTATACGGTACAGTAGTTGTCAACACAAACCAGACAAACTGAATCCTACAGTATCAAGAATTTACTCATTTATTCAATGACCATCATGTCATCATCTTCTGGAACATCATCATAACAATCCAATTCCTGAATTTCCTGGTGAATTTCTTGTGACACCATTTCTTTCAGAATCAGTAGACCAAATCTCTCATGTTTAGCCTAAGGGGGGCCTTATTTTCAGGGGATGCCTTATATTTCACTCAGAAGGAAACCTGTAAGTAGGTCTTATTTTCGGAGGAGATCTTATTTTTGGGGAAACACGGTCGGAGGCAGTTTTCATCTGGGAGTAAAGTTCACAGAAGGGCAAAGATGAAAAAGGACCT